GACCAAGGGCAAGATGGATGGATGGCATCCTTGAAGTGACTGGACTGACCTTGAGGGAGCTGGGGGTGGTAACGGCCGACAGGGAGCTCTGGCGTGGGCTGGTCCATGAGGTCAGGAAGAGTCGGAGACGACTGAACGAATGAACAACAACAACAACACACACTCTCAACCTTCTCTTTGCAGGCTAAATATGCCCAGCTCTTTAAGCCACTCCTCATAGGGCTTGTTTTCCAGACCCTTAATCATTTTAGTCGCCCACCTCTGGACACATTCCAGCTTGTCGACATCTCTCTTCGATTGTGGTGCCCAGAATTGGACACAATATTCCAGGTGTGGTCTAATCAAGACAGAATAGAGGGGTAGCATGACTTCCCTATACTATTGATGCAGGCCAAAATCCCACCGGCATTTTTAGCTGCATCATCACATTGTTGGCTCATGTTTAACTTGTTGTCCACAAGGACTCCAAGATCTTTTTCACATGTACTGCTATCAAGCCAGGCGTCCCCCATTCTGGATCTTTGCTTTTCATTTTTTCTGCCTAAGCAGAGTATCTTGCATTTGTCCCCAGTTTCAAAGCCTGGCTGCTTCCTGCTTGGGGGAATCCTTTGTTTGGAGGTATTAGCTGGCCTTGATGGTTTCTTCTCTGAAATTCCCTGCTGTTTTTTTTGTTGTTTTTTTTTAGTGTTGCTCTTTATTTACTGTCCTGATTTTAGAATTTTTCTAATACTGATAGCCAGATTGTGTTCATTTTTACGGTTTCTTCCTTTCTGTTGAAATTGTCCAGATGCTTGTGGATTTCAATGGCTTCTCTGTGTAGCCTGACATGGTGGTTGTTAGAGTGGCCCAGCATTTCTGTGTTCTCAAATAATATGCTATGTCCAGGTTGGTTCATCAGATGTTCTGCAATGACTGACTTCTCTGGTTGAGTTAGCCTCCAGTGCCTTTCATGTTCCTTGATTCATGTTTGGGCATTGCTGCATTTCGTGGTTCCTACATAGACTTGTCCACAGCTGCAAGGTATACAGTAGACTCCTGCAGAGGTGAGAGGATCCCTCTTGTCTTTTGCTTGATGTAGCATTTGTTGGGTTTTCTTTGTGGGTTTGTAGATTGTATGTTGTGTTTCTTTCATCAGCTTCTGTATGTGGTCAGTAGTTCCCTTGATGTCTGATAAGAATACTTTTCCTCTGGGTGGATCTTTGTCTTCACTCTTGTGGCTTGTTCTTGCTATGTTCGTCAAAGGACAAGAGGGATCCTCTCACCTCTGCAGGAGTCTACTGTATACTATGCAGCTTTGGACAAGTCTACGTAGGACACAGCATATTACTTGAGAACACAGAAATGCTGGACCACTCTAACAACTACCATGTCAGACTACACAGAGAAGCCATTGAAATCCACAAGCATGTTGACAATTTCAACAGAAAAGATGGAACCATGAAAATTGACAAAATCTGGCTACAAAAATCTTGCTACTAGATTCTAAAATCAGGACAGTAAAGAAAAAGCAACACTAAAAAAAGCAAGGGAATTCCAGACATAATCATTAATGCATCGTTGGAGCAAGGGATTTTTCCATCTGGGCTGAAGCAGGCTGTGGTTAGACCACTCCTGAAAAAAGCCTCCCTTGGCTCCACAGTCTTGAGTAATTGCAGACCAATTTCCAACCTCCTATTTTTGGGTAAGGTGCTGAAGCAGGTGGTTGCCTCTCAACTCCAGGGCTTCCTGGATGACATCAACTATCTGGGCCAGTCACAGTCTGGCTTCAGGCCTGGTCACGGTACTGAGACGGCTTTGGTCACCTTGGTGGATGACCTCCGGAGGGAGCTAGACAGGGGCAGTGTGACCCTGCTGGTTCTCTTGGACATCTCAATGGCTTTCAATACCATCGATCATGCTATCCTTCTGGGACAACTCTCCGGGATGGGCCTTGGGGGCACGGCTCTGTTGTGACTCCGGTCCTTCCTGGAGGATCGTTTCCAGATGGTGAAGCTAAGAGACACCTGCTCAGACCCCTGGCCTTTGACCTGTGGGGTCCCCCAAGGTTCTATTTTGTCTCCCATACTTTTTAACATCTACATGAAACCGCTGGGAGAGGTCATTCGGAGTTTTGGAGTTGGGTGCCATCTCTATGCAGATGACACGCAACTCTATTACTCTTTTCCACCTAACTCCAAGGAAGCCCCCCAGATGCTGGATGAGTGCCTGGCCGCTGTGGCTGTCTGGATGAGGAGGAACAAGCTGAGGATCAATTCCGACAAGACAGAGGTCCTCCTGGTCGATCGTAAGCCAGATCGGGATATAGGGTGGCAACTTGTGCTGGACGGGGTTGCACTCCCCTTGAAGTCACAGGTCTGCAGTCTGGGTGTCATCCTGGACTCATCACTTACGCTGGAACCTCAGGAGTGGGCGGTGGCTAGGAGGGCCTTCGCACAATTAAGACTCGTGCGCCAGCTGCGACCGTACCTCATGAAGTCCGATCTGGCCAGGATGGTCCATGCCTTAGTCACCTCCAGATTGGATTACTGTAATGCACTCTACGTAGAGCTGCCCTTGAAAATGGCCCGGAAATTTCAATTGGTACAACAGGCAGCTGTCAGGTTACTAACTGGTGCTTCTTACAGAGAGTGGTCAACCCTCCTATTTAAGAAGCTCCACTGGCTGCCATTCATTTTCCGGTCCCAATTCAAGGTGCAGGTTCTCACCTACAAAGCCCTGAACGGTTTGGGACCCGCCTACCTACGTGACCGCATTTCTGTGTACGAACCCACACGATCTCTTTGATCATCTGGTGAGGCCCTGCTTGTTCTCCCACCTCCTTCGCAGGTGCGATTGGAGGGGACGAGGGAAAGGGCCTTCTCAGTGGTAGCCCCTCGACTCTGGAACTCATTTCCCAAAGATATCAGACATGCCTCTGGCAGTCTTTAGGAGGAGCCTGAAAACGTGGTTGTTTCAGTGTGCCTTCCCAGAATAAGGAAAACTCTCAGCAATTTGCCCTCAAAATGCACTTTACCATTGATTTAGGACTGACTGTGTTCCCTCATTTCTCTTTGAAAAATCCTATCCCAGTTATACTCTACCTGTTCATGCTCAGCATTATTTTTTAAAAAAAAGTAAATTATTACATTTGGCCCGGCCATAGGTTTTTAAAATGCTTTTGTGTTACTGTTATTGTTTATTTTTGCTTATGTGATTTATATTAAGTTGTTTTGTATTGATTTTTTTTTGTTATTGCTTTTGTTTATTGATGTACTGTGGGCTTGGCCTCATGTAAGCAACACCGAGTCCCTTGGGGAGATGGTAGCGGGGTATAAATAAAATTTTATTATTTATTATTGAGTCGTTTTGTTATTTATTGTTTTTGTTTGTATATTATTGTTGGCATTGAATGTTTGCCACTGTGTATTTGTTGTAAGCCATCCTGAGTCCCCTCAGAGAGATAGGGCAGGCTATAAATAAAGTTTCATTCATTCATTCATTCATTCATTCTGAAGTTACTATGTATGTGATGGTGTTTGGTCAAATTCCAACTAGCCTTCTGACTACTGCTTTGTATCTAAAGATTATCTTAACTTTTTTTTTCTTTTGGGTCCCTTACAATGCAGTCCCATGAATGTCTATGTAAAAGTAAATTCTTAGCTGGATGAAGTTTAGTCTTGTGTTTGAGAAGTTCATAACATGTACAGTTTTAAATTGTGTATTTTAATATTTTGTTAAATGTTTTTTAATGTTTATGTATGTGTATGTGAATTTGTGTCCAAGAATTGAATGTTTGCCGTGTATATGCTGTGCTCCACCCTGAGTCCCCTTCGGGGTGAGAAGGGCGGAATATAAATGTTTTAAATAAATAAATGTATAGAAACTAGCCAATCTATACAGAGCCCTGTCCAATATAATAAACATTTGCTTTGATTTGAAACAAATCTTCTTCTGCTTACATAAGGCTCTATGTATATTACAACACAAAAAGGATGATAACAAATAAGCTAGATTTCCTTATTGTGTGCGTACATAAGTAATATGATAGATGATCTAACAAATGTAATGCTTTTGTTTTTATAGAAACGTTGCAATGTCAAGAATCTTCCTCTCGATAGCACAACCTAGCTGTTTCATGGTCATAGAGTACACCAGATTCTTTGATGGTGGCCCAGTTTTTCTTTCAGAGTGAAAGGTACTCAGTAACCTAAAGTGCTATTAAGAATTATAATGGTAATCTTTTTTTTGGAATTATATTAATTATATTTTTGAGATAGTAGTACCACTTGAAAAATTTAAAAACAAACAACTGGCATTCATATATTATTTGCCCAAAATTACAAAATGTCAGTCACATTCAGAAGAAAATTTACTTTCAACTTAACTTAAGCATCTCAGGATTTAAAGAAGCAGAGTTCAACCCAAAATATACACATAAAATAGTAGTTATAGAAGAGTCATAAATTAGATACGTACAAAAATACAAATTCATATTTACATGTATTAACTTATACAAAAAATTAAATCTGTAGGTGATACATAATCTTAAAAATTCTGCCTGCAGAGAATTTCAATGGTTATTGGTTACTTTTATTAGAGCTGGAAGTTTTTAGAGAAGGAAATAAAAGTATTACAGTCTCACTATACCCTCCAATATTTCATAAATGAAAATTAGAAACTATGTAGCCAACCAACATCAGTGTGTGGTCAAGATTGTCTATGTGTGACACTTGGAGTGCTTCTGTGAGCCACACCAAGTCCCTTTGGGGAGATAGTGGCGGGGTACAAATAAAGATGATGATGATGATGATGATGATGATGATGATGATGATGATGATGATTATGCAGGGCAGCAGCAGTTTGCTTTTACCTGAGTCTATGGGGGGCCCTTCTATATAGCTGTCTGAAACAAAAAGTAGAGGCATTGACTAAAGATTCTCCTTAAAGCTTTGGCCAGGAGACACCTGCTCCCAAAATTTGATTGCATTCTATTTACCTTCTTCTTCCTTTATTTATTTATTTATTTATTTATCATGTCAGAAGCAAGTTGAGGGTACAGTTAAAATGCATTTAAAACCACAAACAAAGTTTTAAAAACTTGGCATTGTGCTAAATGTCCTTTGACCAGAAGCTGGTCACTTGGCGTGCCTCTGGTGTTGCTGTGAGAAGGTCCTCCATTGTGCATGTAGCACAGCTCAGGTTGCATTGTAGTAGGTGGTCCTTTGGAAAAATGTTTACCCAGTACCTAGACTTGCAGATCATTAAAGGAATAATTTGCCTTATGAAGTGGTTGGCTAAAAGAAATATTTGATTTCTTGTTCTTAATATTACTAAGATATTCCTCAAAGTGTAATCTTATTTCAGAAGGGAGGGATACAGAGAAAAGGGAGAGAGAAAAGGAAGGATATATAATCAGCTCCATTTCTGACTGTTATAGCCAAAAGTGGATTTCTATTTATATCAAACTGGATATTACAGACTGACATCCCTTAATTGGAATTTGAATTTTCTGCTTTTAGTCTCCATTGTGGAGGGGAAAAGCCAGGTATAAATAAACATAAAAAAATTATTTGCTCAGCAAAATATTCCTTTTGAAAAGGAACAATATCCTTCATATAAACTACTTTTGGAGGAAGAACAATCATACAAAATTTGTGAACGAGAGAGATTAGTTGGAAGGTCCATAAATCACATCACAGAGCAGCACCCCTTTTTGGGATAATACTCTGAATACACCTTCTGTTCATTTCCATAAACAAAGTAAGAATAGTGTTTCCCATGCCATTCATATTCCACTCTGGTAAGGTATAACAACTCAATTATTTGCTTCTGTAATAAGAAAGAGAGAGAGAAAAAATGAATATACTTATAAATATTAAAGCAATATTATTTACAAAATCTTATTTATAAAACAATGTGTGTCTGGGTCTAGATCTACAACTGTCCTGGGTCAAAGGTAGCCATATTGCCAAACCTCTAAAGTAGTAATTTTTTAAAATTCCAATAAATCTAATGATAGTTGAAAATAGACACTGCATGTTTTTCTGCAATCTGCTTCTTAGGGCCCTTCCATACAGCCCTATATCCCAGAATATCAAAGCAAAAAAACCCTCACAATATCTGCTTTGAACTGGGTTTTCTGAGTCCATGCTCAGATAATGTGGGGTTTTTTGTCTTGATATTCTGGGATATAGGGCTGTGTGGAAGGGCCTTAGATCTCTGCTAATTTGCCATACTTGTGCAGACTGTTCTGACTGTCAAGGCAAACGAGTAGGAAGTAGTGGCACCAGAGTGAAAACTGGAGCGGGCTTATTGCTCCATTAAGCTGATTTTAATGGGGCTTATTGTTCTTATTATAATAATATAAACCTTTATTTATAGACAGCCCTATCTCCCTAAAGGGACTATTTCCCCAAAGGGACTTACTCCCCCCTCCCAATCATTGTGCCACCCCAGCTGACTTCACCCCAGGTTGTGAGCAAACAGTACAACCCATGTCACTCCAGGTGGCCACTGCAACAAGAACAGGTGGTTCTGGTTTCTGCATTCTGGCAAGGGTGGCTATCCAGGTTCAGTGCCACTGATCAGTCTACTACCACCTCCGCAGTCACATTGTGTTTGTGTGGCAGTCTTATTTTATCAGGCTATTTGTTAGAATGTATTTAGAAAAGTGCATACTTCCTTTATATAGTCCAAAAATTAATATATCAAAAATAACGCTATTTTTAAGGACATGTTTAAATAGAGTACTGCCAGGCATCTCCTATACATCAACCATCTAACTTTATTTTGCTGGACTTTCTTCAGCTACTTAAGCATCAACAGTCTAACTTTAATTTGCTGGTCTTCCTTCTGATTCACTAATGTACTCTTTTCATTACTAATCAGTTCCCTTTCTGGAACTTCCTGCTTTGAAAGCCAGAATGGCCCCCTCCTTACTGTCCTTACGGTGGCAGGCTAAAACCTTATTCAAGCAGGCTTTTAAAGAAGATCATTTTAAAGACTGAGCCAGGCAGAGCTGTTTTATGTAATTTAATAGATTTGTTGAATGGTTTTATTGCTTTTAACTATGTATTTTAATATTGCTATGTATTAATTTATTGAAATATTTATATATGTGACCTTGGAGGTGTCTACAGACAACGCTGGCTCTTCGGCTTATGGAGATGAGCACCACACCCCAGAGTTGGACACGACTGGACTTAATGTCAAGGGAAAACATTAATCTTTACCTAATATTTATATGCATTAGGTTTTAATTCACACATTTTTTTAGTGTTAACTGCTTTGAGTCTCCATTGCTCGAGAAAAAGCAGGGTATAAAATATAAGAAGAAGAATAACAACAACAACAATACCTAATTCAGTACAGCTTATCAAACAATCTGATTCACTGAAAGATTGACTGACAACTATGGATACACCCAGTTACATACATACTCATGTGCAACAATTTCCATGGGAAAAAATATGGCATGATTCTCCCAAGGAAAACCATCTATCCCACATCTCTGCATGGAACAAACAGTTTCATACAAAAGACTACAAGTCCACAGACACCTACATCACAAGTATTACAGCATGTCTCAGCAATCTTCAGGTTACTCACCTGCCTCCGAATGCACATTGTGGGTTCAAACTTAGCTTGAGGATGCTCAATTGCATTCCAGGTGGCAGTTCCATGATCATGAAGATGCTCCTGTGGAGATGTACAGCTTAGGATAGGGTTCACAACCTTTGCTGCCCTTAGACTTGTATTCAGTGTTGATTATAGAGCTATGCATATGCATGCTTACTCATGCCCAATTCTTCTTTTCACTCCAAATCACATTTGCCTCTACCTCACTCCTATATACCTTGGCCCATAAGATGGGGAAATGTAAGCTTCCCTGCCCTCTAAGGGTCTCTGATGCAAAAGTCTTGCTCATCACTGATCACCCACTGATCTGCACTGAGACTGCTGCTTCTGAAATCCTACTGCTACTGGGGTCAGGAAAAAAATGGAATAAAATGAGAACACTTGTTCCTTGAAATCCAGTGCAGCAACTTGGCTATGGGGAGAATTACATGGGGTTCTGGAAGCTTTTGGGGCCACAGGTTTCTGCATCTCTTACTTTTCAAAATAAAGACATGAACAGAAACTGAGTCTCATAAATAAGACCAAGCTGGTAAATATGGCTACAGTGTGTAGGCACAAACCACTGCTAATCTCTAAAACAGAAAGGCTAACCAGACCTTTTGTGTGCAGTGTAGTTAAGTAAAAGAAAGTCAAGATGAAGTTACTCTTGCTTCTTTTGGGTGAAGCTACTTCTGCATTGCCAGGGATACTTAGTTTACTATGAGGAACTTCACTGGTATTCATGCAATGTAGAGATAGTCTTTGCAGTACTCACTTGTCCTGGCGTTATGAACTGAGCTCGGTGTTGTTCAACAGCACTCCGAGAGACTTCATTTATGGTATTTTCGGAGAAATTCATCACTGGAAAAACCTATGAAAATATCAGCATCAGGAGATATAAACACAAAATTGAACTGTGCCTTATAGAGAGTCTACATCAGCCATTCAAAAGCAGTCAGTAACAAAGGCAGCAGTGCATTTCAGCATATGTACATATCTCTGTGTACACACTTTTCGGGATATTTCTATCACCCAGACATTACTTTGTCCTGAAGATGTGCAAGCCATTGAACATGGCTGATGAAAGTGCTTTTGGTAAACACTTACTCCTGCTACCCACTCTTTTTTATTATGGTTAATGTTAACATAGTTTTTCATCATCACCACCACTGGCTCTACACAATATTTTAAACACTCGGGATATTTAAATATATATAGAGAGAGGGAGGGTGGGATTTCCTCATTTGAATGTGAAAGAAGAAATTTTCCAGTATTTTTTAAAGTGCCACTCATTGCCAAACAGTGAAAGGATGGAGACAATATTGTTTTGGGGCTATATCAAGAAGTATATTTCTGATCTAAGAAAAACATGTATCTTATCAATGTTCAGGTTAGTTTAATGTAATTTTCAGACCTCAACATCTTTCATTTTTATCAGAATATTCCATTACCATGCGTTGCTCATCAAATAACATTTCTTGTCCATAAACTTTGTCGAAATGCTTTATTGGAAACCCACTGCCATGATCCATCACATATTCAAAAATGTGATTTGTCCTATGAAGACAAAAAACAGATATTCTACTGTCAAATAGTTCTGTGCCTTATTTTTACCACAAACCAACAAGACTGTCTCAAACCAGGCTTATTCAACTTCCTTCATTCCTATCAAAGGTTGTTTGGTTAATTGCCTTTTCCTTAGTCAATCCAGTCTCTTCCCAGCCTTCAGTATGATCAGTATGATTACAAATATACTGCCTTACTTGTGGGATTTGTGTATGTATGTGTGTGCCTTCAGGTCATCATGTCACCTTTGGCAAAAAATACTCAAATTTGGTTTGCCATTTCTCTCCTCTGAAATACAACCTATGGCACCTTGTGTTCATTTGCAGTCTTCTACCAAAATACTAACCAGAATCCTGTTTTGCTTCCAAAATCTGACAGGATCTACTGCTATCTTCCATACAGTATCCCCAAATTAGCAGTAGAATTATATTATTTCCTGCATCAAACACATTTCCAATGGTGATACTATCAGGCACACAAATATATCGTCTCAGTGTCAGAAGGTCTTAATTATACCTCTTCAAAGAGCAGTTGAGCTCCTATTCTACCACTAATAAAAGAAGTGAAACTGACTATAAGATCCAAGCAACTATACTGGCCACAAAACTAGCACTATCCCTCCCCCCTCCAAACTTCCAAAGGAGACCTTTTGTTTCCACTTGTGATTGCATCACTACTCTTCCACTCCAGCTGGAGGATGGATGTGCCCGCTGCCCATCACACAAAGTATTTATTTATTTCCTGTACTTGTATCCCGTCACTTCTCAACCCCCGAAGGGGGACTCAGGACGGCTTACAATGTGCCCTGTTATGAAGCCACTACATGACAATTACAATAATAAAATCACAACTGGACACAAATCATAGTTAAATAATACATAAGCAATCATTAAAACAGCAAAATAGTCTCGTCAGCCATATCGTTGTTCCAGTCATGTCCCTCTAACGTGCTACTACATCTATTGTCCGAAAGCCTGGTCCCAAAAACATGCCTTTAATTTATTTTGGAGAGCCAGGAGGGAGGGAGCCAATTTTACCTCCATTGGGAGTGTGTTCCATAGGCGGGGAGCCACTGCCGAGAAGGCGAGGGCCACTGCCGAGAACATAAGGGAACTTCCTGTGGAAGCTCCTCTTCCAACTGGAGGGAAAGCATTGCACAATGCTTCCCTCTCCATGGGAGGCTTCCCATGTTGTGCTGGCTTCAATGGATCCAGCACAGGGCCTCTCCAGAAGGGCTAAGCTTTCCCCATGCAATAGGGGAAGGGTCGCTGTGAGGGAGCAGCACAAGAGATGATTCACTTTCATTTCGGCTGTGAAGCAGGATGCTTTGCCTGGTGAATAAAAGATCTTCAGTTCCTTTTCTAAGGTGAGTTACCATTTTACTTTTAGCTGAAGGTATGTCAGCAGTTTTCCTCTTCCTGAGCATGTGCTGCATGTTACTCTTCCTGAACCACCACACATAATACACATGCTGGAAGAAAGATGGGACAGCAACTAATTATTATTGAAAGGCATAGAGGCAGCAAGATTTGAAGATCTTCATTGTGGAAGTAAACTGATTATAAACTCAAAGAACAAATGAAAAAGGCATTTCTTCAAAATAAAGGATCGTGGTTCTTTATTCTCCAAATATAAACAATTCCTACACATTAAATGTAGTAAAAAATTAAAAACTCTAGAATCTTAAATGTCCTTGAAGGAATTGTTTTAGATAATTGTTTCAGATTTCTTCAGAAGGAAATGAGCTTCATTCATTTATAAAAACACATAATGGCTACTCCTATTCACAATTTGTAGGTTTGAAAGAAAAGATATTGACAAGTATTTTACAGATGGAAGAAAACATAGTGGTGTGGCGAAGGCCGACACCAGTATCTGGCTGTGAAGCAAAATGCAATCCAATTTATATGTAGGTAGTATCTAACTCCCGCAAAGAGCCAATATACTGTGGTAGTTTGAATAGTGGACTAAAACTCCAAATGCCAGGGTCCAAATCTTCACTCAGCCATGGAAATCTCAGTTTTTAAGGAAGATCACCTCCAAATGAAATTTGTCAATAAAACTCCATGATAGGGTCACCATACACTATTTTCAATTTGAAGGCACATGACAAAAATGGCTACAAATTTTGCGTGTATTCAGAGGCGACCCTAGGTAATTTTCAATGGTAAGCAAACAGTATTTTGCCCCCCCCCCCAACCAATCACTGATATATATTTTCTGTTCCTCATGGGAGTTCTGTATGCCATATTTGGTTCAATTTCATCATTGGTGGAGTTCAGAATGCTCTTTGATTTTAGGTGAACTATACATCCCAGTAACTACAACTCGCATATGTCAAGGTCGATTTTCCCCCAAGAGCACCTCAAGAGTGCCCCTGGGCAAAATCAACTATACTGCAAATGCTTACTTTGCGTAATGGGTTGAGCTGCCCCTGCATGTATTATAAAACAACTGGACACACAAAAACATTGTTGTGGTGAAAGGTGTACATACCTGGTTGTGTGTTGATTTCCAGTGGTGCAATGTACCTGGGGAAAGGGATAGATGGGATACAAATCAGTTAATGAAATATAGTTTAGTTTTGAACTTTTAAATACCTTTACCAGGCTGTCTCATATAAAGACTTTTTAATTATTGTTACTAGTCGTTAGAACGAAAACAGCTCAAAGAATACTCTCATTTCTATTAACATCTGGTAATGGAGGTCATAATGGTAGACATTAAAATGATATTCAAATGTATTTTAAAAATGGTCAGAGATAAGTTTTCTAAGTCTAAAGAAAGCCTGACAAGAAGCATGCTGAATTAATAATAACCTCCATTTTATGACTTAGTCTTTGTACAAAAAATAGCTTGTATTTTTTTAAACCTATTTATGTGCAGAAAATCATACCCACGAATGCTTCCTGTGCAAAATAAACCATATAGACTCATACAATTGGAAGAGACCTCGCGGGCCAGCCAGTCCAACCCATTGCCAAGAAGCAGGAAAATCGCATTCGCGATTATGTGTAGAATAAATCCTGAATTGCAAACAGTCTTTGAAAACTATGCAGAAACTAATCAAGGTCTTTCCCACAGAGATGTGGAAATGGCTGAAATTCCTTATTCTTTCCTTCAAGGAATAAATTAGTTAATAATACAGCCCTACTTGATGTACCACTACTTACCCGTCCCATTCCATGACATCTGTGACATCTAACTTTACCCCGACCACTGCACCTTCCACAAACCTTTGATGAAAGGAAGTAGTGCATTAAAACAGATTCACCTTTTTAGATGGATTTAAAAGAGCAGGTGCATATCTCATCATAGTAGCTAATAACAACATCACTCCTCCTATGACTGATATATAAGGTATCCGTTACAACATGATTCCTTTAAGAGCGAATGGCTATTACTATTCTTGGATCAATACAACATACCTAAATGCTGGTTTAGCAAATTCTCATTGATTCAACCTGTTAGCCTAGCTGTAACTAACAATCATAACTACTACTCATGTACAAGTCTAGAAATTTTAGTCCAGAAATCAACCACAAAATCCCATGTTGTCTTATCCATTGGCATACCTTAATTCTTATTTTAAAAAGAAACCTTCACAGCAACTCCCTCAATTCTCCCTACCGTAGCGCCAGTTCTGGCTGTTTAAATGTCTGGTGCAAAAGTAGTGGCAGCAAGCACTTACACTTTCTCCTCTCTTCCTTTTAACTTATCAAAAGTAATATCAAAGGCCATAATTTTGATCCACAAACCAAACCCTTGAGGTACATGAGGTCAATTTATACACATGCATATATACAGTACTTCATATCTTTCAGTATAGATTTCCCTTCTGGTGTCTTTGAAGCTTATTGTCTTCTAAATTATTTCCCACCACTGCACCTGTATTTTGTTATTAATACTATTACTATTATTATCATTTTATTTATATCATGCTTTATCTTTCTAAAAAGACCCAAAGCAGCTAACACTAAAAACAATACAATATAAAATTTAAATTAAAAATATATACAAACATTAAATAAGATTAAACATCAAAACTATTATGATAAATGGTTAAGACCATGAACTCTCACCATTCATCTCTCATTTTCACGCGTTCTAATTTCCAAGAGCTCTGCAATTTATTTATTTATTTATTTATTTATTTACTGTATTTGTATACTGCCTTTCTCAGCCTGTCGGCGACTCAAGGCGGTTTACAACAAATAATACACATAATATCATAATACAGGTTAAAACATTAAAACAATAAAACACAACAGAAGCAATAAAAACAGCATCAACACCTCCTTATTATAAAAGCATTGCCAATTCCATAGTAGAGTTATTCGGTTTCCTATATCAGTTACTCTGCATTTGTAAACGCTTGCTCAAACAACCATGTTTTAACTTTTCTCCAAAATGTTAAGAGGGAGGGAGCTGATCTCCCTAGGGTGGGTGTTCCATAGCCAAGGGGCCATCAATGAGAAGGTCCTGTCTCTTGTCCCTGCCAACCATACTTGTGATGAAGGTGGGATCAAGAGCAGGGCCTCCCCGGACAATCTTAAGGTCCTAGATGGTTCATAAGGGGAGATATGTTTGGACAGGTAGGTTGGGCCAGAATCATTTAGGGCTTTGTAGGCTAAAGCCAGTACTTTGAATTGTGCCTGGGAGCAGACTGGCAGCCAGTGGAGCTGGCGCAGCAGAGGAGTTGTATGCTCCCTGAGCGCTGCTCCTGTTAACAATCTGGCTGCCATCCATTGGACCAAAGGCAGCCCCACGTAAAGCGTGTTGCAGTAGTCTATACAGGATGTAACCAGAGTGTGGACTGCCATGGCCAAGTCAGACTTCCCAAGCTACAGGCACAGCTGGTGCACAAGTTTTAACTGTGCAAATGCTCTCCTGGTCACTGCAGAAACTTGGGGTTCTAAGCTCAGCGATGAATCCAGGATCACACCCAAGCTGCAAACCTGCGTCTTTAGGGGGAGTGTGACCCCAGGCAACACAAGCTGTAACCCTATGCCCTGTTCGGCCTTGCGACTGACAAGGAGTACCACTGTCTCGTCTCAATTCAGTTTCAATTTGTTCGCCCTCATCCAGATCGTCATAGTGGCCAAGCACCGGTTCAGTAGAAGGTGGGAAGGAGTGACAGAGTTAGATGTCATCTGCTTACAGATGATACAGCACCCCAGGGGCTTCATGTAGATGTTAAACAACATGGGGAATAGTATTGAACCCCGAGGAACCCCACAAAACAACAGTTGTGGGGTTGAACAGGTATCCCCCAGTAACACCATCTGAGTGCAACCCTCCAGAAAGGACTGGAGCCACTGCAAAACAGTGCCTCTCAGTCCCATTCCAGTGAGGCATCCCAGAAGGATACCATGGTCAATGGTATCGAAGGCCACTGAGAGGTCTAGCAGAATGAACAGGGACATGCTCCCCCTGTCTAGCTCCCAGCGTAGATCATCAACTAAGGTGACCAAGGCTGTCTCGGTTCCATGTCCTGGTCTAAAGCCAGACTGTGCCGGATCCAGATAATCCGTGTCTTCCAAGAATACCTGGAGTTGTGGGGCCACTACACATTCCAGGACTTTGCCCAAGAAGAGGAGATTGGAAATAGGCCAATAGTTGACAAATTGAGTGGGGTCCAGTAATGCTACTACTACAATCCTTTTCATTGTTATTTTATGTATGATATTAAGGAAGAAAGAGGAAAAATGCATCTTCTAATCCAGTGATTCCAAAACTTTGGTCCTTCGAGTGTTTTGGACTTCAACTCCCACAAATTCTATTTGACTTGGCCAACAATCAGGAATTCTAGGAGCTGAAGTCTAAAACATCTGGAAGTCAACCATTGGGGAACACCTGTTCTAAACTATGGAAATACTGGCCCTGTTGTGCCACTAACTTAATTCCAATTTGCTTTTTAGAGACATCAATACTTGTCACCTGCACTGATCACCACAATTTCCCCTTACGTTTCTTCATTACCTTTACTGATGATGTACGGGGCACCATGACTTTCTTTTTCTGGTCTTTAAACATGGGAGAAACCTCCACTTGGACATCCCAAGGGTAAGGAGCATAGGCCCGCAGACTGGGATCGACAGGTTCATCTGAGAAAGAGGATAACTGCTTTGGGTTTTCTGATATCGCACACTATCAGCCACATGGCAAGGACCACATTCAAACATAAAGCAACAGCTCTGTGGCCCAGCACTGTTATAACCTTAGTAAGAATGTAAAGAATACTTTTAAATTTTTTGCTAAAGGGCAAAGAAGTAAACTGTGAAATCAAAACCATCAGCAATTGCATAAGGGCAAAAAATGCCCTGGGAGAAGTCTTTAAAAGTGTTAGTACAATGCTAAGAAAACTATAATATGAATACTAAATTGGGAGTGGAGGATAAGGATTGAGTATACGAAGGCCACAGACAGATGATCTTGAGGAATGGGTACTTAAGTAGTGGAATTATATAGTATATGTCCTATCAAACTCTAGCTCTGTTCCTATTGTTATGGCAGCTTGGTAGAGAAACAATTATTGGATATTGTGTTCAAATTACTAGAAGGACACATATTCTTAAGCAGTATAATAACTCTTACCCTGATAAGGTACTGTCTTCCATTTACAAATCCTTAATTCACTGAAAGTCTCCAAACGATACTAGGAAAGAATTTTAAAACATTAGAACATGGAACAATACAGAAAAAGAGGCTAGTTATTTCTCAAACTGTTTATAAGGAAGTGAAATCTAGATAACAATAATTTCTTATGAGATTAACTGTCATCTTTCAATATTTCTGAAGGCTACTGTCAAAAAAGCATGAAAGGAAAAAAGCCACGTGCTATAATGCAAACATGAAAGATACAGACGACTGAAAATAAATGGCAAAGAACCATAGATCCATAAGAACAAGTTGTATTTATAATTTTTAAATCAGTGGTTGATGATGGGAAAGTGATTAGATGGAGTCAAATGGTTGTTCCTTTTCTTCTATGCTTCACAAATACCACAGTTTGGAAACCTCTACTGACCCCTGACATGAAATCTAATGGTTACCATCATTCAGAATAATAAGAAGCTTCCACAATAACAAATATATGTTTTCAGGATCTGGTAGGAAACTGCAGAAAGGTAAAGGGCTAACTGTGCAGTTTGTTTCCAAAAAGTTATTAAATGCAAATAAATAAATTAATGAAAACTGAGTTATAAGTGACAGAACATTGTTGACTAAGAATACTATATACAGATAAAAACTATAAAAATGTATCAAATCACCTTGGTACAGGTTTTGGAACATTGCATTTTATAGCAAAAGAATGCATATCCTCAACATGTTTTTTATTATTACTGTAAAAATTGTTCAGATGAATTTGGTACTTTTTAGAAACAAACTCCATAATTGCCCCACAACTGCTCATAACATAAACATATATACTGTATGCATATATGCTCTCACACCTCAGTTTTCTTCAGACCTGTTCTCAAAATGGCAAAGATGGTAATGTATTATCACTTCCTACCACCATCATGAGACAGATGCAGAAGGAAAATGGAGCTATTTGTGGTAGTTGGCATTCGGGGGTAGAGCATGGGGATATTTTCAGGTATTTTGGGAGGCTTTTTGCATAGCTTTGGGGCAAAAATTGGCCATTATTATTATTATTATTATTATTATTATTATTATTATTATTATCTGGATGGTTGGGAATTATCATTCACAGTAGAACTGCCATCGTGCCTAGGTCAGCAGGGGAGAATAAGCATTTCCACTACCTGCTATTGTCATATCTTTGAGAGAAACGTAAGAACATACAAGCATATCTCCACCTTGCCTATGTCCAGCAGCTGATGGGTAGCCCCAACTAGAGCATGGCCATTGAACCAATATTTCTATTGCAAATCAACACCTATGTAAATACAATTGATTCATTGTAGCCACCCTGGACCAGGCAATCAATAGGTTTTTAACCTCAGTTGCCCAATGTTACAGTTCATATACACAGTAGAGTTGTGCAATTACTGCTTTATGGGCATAAATACATGCTCCATCTCCTCAATGTAGGATTACAAGTCTGGATTTAAAAGACCAAGCAGAAAGCAACAGGCAGCAGTTGACATGACATTAGAAGTCAAACTGTGAAGCTTTTTTTTTGTTGTTGTTACCGAAACGACAACTTCGAGAACCCCCCAGTCAATCCAGGGAGATGTAGTTCAAAAAATACACGTTCTCAATCTCTGTGATAAAGTCATTATTTCATTCATCCAACTGAAAAGGAAGCCTCCTGATGTTGTATGAAGGAGAGAATTTCCTATCAATGTGTTCAAATAAATGACTGGACAGCTACCTCTTGGGTTGCTTTTGCTGGGGATTCTGCGTTTGAGGAGAAAACTGGATTCAATGACCTCTTCCTCACCAAACACTAGAATAGGGTTAAGCTACATCAAGATGCTAAAAACTAAACACCAAAATCTAATATTGTATAAATGATATCCATTTTTAAAAAATGTAATGTCACATGGAAAGCATTTGTATTGGGGTTTTTTTTAAAAAAATACAACTGTACTATGATATGATCATATTCTGGAGTTCAGATGGTTTTACTTACTCTGTAGGTATTGAATGACTTTGAATCGGAAATCACCATCTCTTTGGCTGGATCTTTGCTGTAGCAACAGTGACTTGCTGCATATTCAGCAAACACTTCTTTAGCAACATCTTCCGAAATGGCAGTAGCACTGCAGGAAAAAAAGAGAGGGAGGAAAATAAGCAGGCATGAAAGGGAAAACCACTGTTTGAAACCAGACTTGGGCTAAAAGACTTTCTCAAACCTTGGCCATCTGTTATAGTTCTGCTGATGAAATGAAGAGGATTTTATCCTGGAAGTTCCTTAATTAAGCAATTTACACATTCCTGGAAACTCAGATTCACTTTACTACTTGTACAAATTTTAAAAAGAGAATTTTTAGTCTCTGAGAGTTGGGAATAGAATTATTTTTGTTGAAATTTCTTTCAAAGCACAGTTTTGCATTGATATAGATATTTGCAGGTGCCCATGGCAGGGGGTGACTTTCCTATCAGGAAAGTGGCAAATCTGTGGTGCTTTTTTGACCAAACTTTAAAGAAGCTATTCAAGATGATATTTGGTAGGGATCAGCTTCTTTTGAAAAGGTCCTTTAAAAATCAGTCTAAAACCCAGACCCCTTCTACACTGCCATATTAAATCCAGGTTATCTGTTTTGAACTGGATTATATGGCACTGTAGACTCAAATAATCTGGTTCAAGGAAGATAATGGGGAATATCTGCCTTGAAAGGATTTTATGGCAGTGTAGAAGGGCCATCAAAGTGGGTTCATGCCCCAGTGACAATGAGACCATCAATAAGCTCCAATCAACAGTTGGTCAATGTTCATAGCTCTCAAATCAGGCTTTAAAAAGGGGGGCGAGGAGAAAGAACAAGCATCCCAAAAATGTTTAAAGAGCTTCTAACCCTGTTTTCTTCCTCCATAAATATCCTAGGTCCCTTCTATCAGATAATCTGGATGTTATATGCCAATGTAGATGGGGCCCTAGTCCCATCCTCTTCATATATATCTGACTAGGGATTATAAACATATGGCCTCCCAACGCCCCATCTACATTGCCATATAAAATCCAGATTACCTGCTTTGAACTGAATTATATGGCAGAGTAGGCTCATATAATCCAGTTCAAGGCAGATAATGTGGATTATTTTATTTGATAATCTTGATTATATGGCATTATAGAAAGGGCCTTCAAGTCATGCAATACTTCATTGTTAGTTCTGTTGGCTAGAGATAACAGGAGATGCAATCCAGTAAAGTTGGAAAGGCCAACAGCAGCAAGCACCCACTGCACAGCAGGCAATGGTAAGCACTGCAGTGACAGAAAGTCACAGGAGAAAAATAATATTGGCAGCTATTCTCCCTTTTCCATATACATACAGGGAGAAGCAATCATCCACACACAGCAGTCCTGTTAAACCCATATTTCCATCACCTATGGCTTGTGTACAGGAAGGATGGGATTTTGTGAATGCAGAAATGAAAAAGAGTAAAAATCCAGCTCTAGAAGGATAAAGAATATATGTAAAGATCATTTTTAAAAACATGCTTATTTGTAGAATCAAGGAAGATGGCATTGCTCTGAATTAAACAAAGGCAGCAAGTCCTGAGCAATTAAGATAAATTATTTTGTTCATTTATATATATCCCAGCTCAAGGTGGCCAACAGCATATCTAAAGCAGTACAGATTAAAAGTCATGAGGTCCTACATCTTGCTTATTAAATCAACCCTGGACAACTATGAAACAAGAACAAATTTTGAAGAAACCATAGCCATCTTACTTCCAGTTGCTTTGGCTTGTGGGTGGTTCACCTTCATGAGAACGGAATTGGTTTCCATCTATAAAAGAAGAAGAGATTGTGAGAGAAACAGTAGTGTATTTAGTCTATATCAGGGGTCCTCAAACTTTTTAAACAGAGGGCCAGGACACAGTCCCTCAAACTGTTGGAGGGCCATATTATAATTTTGAAAAAACCATGAATGAATTCTTATGAACACTGCACATATCTTATTTGGAGTACAAAAAACACAATAATACAATAATTAAAATGAACAATTTTTAAAAATATAAACTTATTACTATTTCATTGGGAAGTGTGAGCCTGCTTTTGGTTGATGAGATAGGATTATTGTTGTGCGCTTTCAAGTCATTTCAGACTTAGGTTGACCCTGAACGAGGGCTGGATAAATGACCTTGGAGGACCGTATCCGGGCCCCGGGCCTTACTTTGGGGAGCAAAATGCAAAACAGATCTTCTGATTTTCTTGTGTTTCTGATAATAACTGGGAAAGCACACAATGCAATCAACACAGATTATTCATTTTATTAAGTAACATAAAACATAAAACATGATATTCTAAGCTGGCAAAAAATAGGGGGTAGAATATTCAGAACTAGTACTTTGACTTTCCTGAAGTAATTACAGATTATGGCTAGAATGGATTGGATAGACTTGAAAAAGAAACTTGAAAATATTGAGAATTAAACAGAATATCATACTAAGCATACAAGATGAAATGTATACGATGCAGAAGAAATGCAGCAACAGTTGAGCTGATATTTCTTATAAATACCATATTGATTGTTCTTTTGTTTTGTTTCATATCTGCTACAAATATATTGATCAATTGTTGGTACATGTTTCTTTTGTTTATCTAATGACCTTCTCTGGTTATTTGGATGTTGCTCATTTATTGTAGAATGGAAGAAGGATAGCATTAGAAATATACTTGCCACCACTGGTTACATCTTCATAGAGAGGAGGTGCAAAAGATCCTGGTGTTTGAGTCATATTTACAGTAGGGATAAAACCTACAATATGAAAAAAAGCAACCCGTCACAACTGGGATGAGGGGTGAAAGTTGGTATCATTGTACTATGCTGAGCTGCAGAAACAGCCATAGGGTAAGAACTCTACCTTAGAACTCCTGCCTGGGGCCAGCCTTTCCAAACATACTGGGCTTGGCCCCCACAGCTGTGCCATTTCACCTGACACCAGCAGCAGATAAAACAGTCAGCACTAGACCCAGAGCCTACTTTGCAATCCAACTATGTTAAGACAATCAATAAGATCTTGGCACTATAGGACTTTTACCAACATGGATAGAGACACCTCACCATCACGAGAAAAAACACACCCCCATCTGCCTCCCAAAGGACMTCATACCACAGTTTATACCCCTTATGAAGAGCTGGGTTGCATTCCTGTRCTTAAACAGTATTCAGRGGACTCCTTAATTGTGAGGATCTGGGAATCTCTGGGAGGGCATAAAGAATGGGGGTGGATATTATGGGGAGGCGGGTGTGGGAGGGGGATGGTAACTAGACCCMTATARGTCCTTTTTAACTTGTGGAATTGTGCAATATAATAATTTTCTTYRGCCAGCACCTTAATCACTCTGACTTGGACACCACCTCAGCCCTGTTGACTTGTAAATGCCTTTTTACTTTTAATGTTTTGAGTGTTTGCTATCATTAGATCTAGTAGTAAACATGTTCTAAATGTYTGATTTATATATTTAAATATCTAAGTTTGTTATTTTTGAGTTGTTCTATAAGTACACCTGATGTTGTTTATTTTATTGTTTATGATTTGATTTGTTTGTTATGTTACGCCAGCATTGAAAGTTTGCCAATTTTCTGTTGTAAACCGCCCTGAGTCCCCTCGGGGAGATAGGGCGGTCTAGAAATAAAGTATTATTATTATTATTATTATTATTATTATTATTATTATTAAAGGTGAGGAACTGCTACTTCTTTCTGAACAGACAGAGTATGAAAATAGGATCGTGCATGTTGTGGAGGAAACTTACAGGAGAAGCTGACAACTACTTGACAGAAGATTGTATTTCCCCTGCACTGTCAAAAGCATTAAGTCTTTATAACTCAGGCCCCTTCTACACTGGTTTTATATGTTTTTTAATGGTTTACTGTATGGATTTTATCAATTTGTTTTAAATGTTTTAATTATATATTGTATATTGTCAAATGGCTGTTAGGTTGTAAGCCGCCTTGAGTCACCTTCAGGTTCAAGAAAGGCGGGATAGAAATATCGTAAATAAATAAATAAATAATCCAGATCAAAGCACATAATCTGTATTTCATATGGCAGTGTAGAAGGAGCCTTATTCTCATAGCTAGATGCAGAAGAATTATGGAGTCTCCAGCCCCTTCCATACAGCTGTATAAAATCCATAACTGAACTGGATTATATGGCAGTGTGGACTCAGATAATAAAGTTCAAAGCTGATATTGTGGATTATCTGCCTTGATATTCTGGGTTATATGGCTGTGTGGAAGGGCTTTCCTTCTATGGAGGTTTTTTGAGCAAAGGCTGGATGACCACCTGTCAGGAGTGCTTTAACTGTGTATTCCTCTATGACGAAATGGGGTTGGACTGGATGAACCCTGGAGTCTCTTTCAGTTCTAGGATTCTATGTTACATTATCTGCCAATGCCTCTCCTCTGCCAGTGCAGTCTTGAAAATAGGTTGCAGTCTAACTGTATAGAGCAGTGTTTCTCAACCTTCCTAATTCCGCAACCCCTTAATACAGTTCCTCATGTTGTGGTGACCCCCAACCATAACATTATTTTCATTGCTACTTCATAACTGTAATTTGCTACTGTTATGAATCGTAATATAAATATCTGATATACAGGATGTATTTTCATTCACTGAACCAAATTTGGCACAAATACCTGATATACCCATATTTGAATACTGGTGGGCTTGGGGGGGGGGGGGGCTAGATTGCTGTTGTCATTGTAGTTGCTGGGATTTATAATTAACCTACAATCAAAGAGTATTCTGAACACCACCAATGGAATTGAACTTGGCACACAGAACTCCCATGACCAATAGAAAATACTGGAAGGGTTTGGTAGGCATTGACCTTGAGTTTTGGAGCTGAAATTCACCTACATCCAGAGAGCACTGTGGACTCAACAATGATGGATCTGGACCAAACTTGGCACAAATACTCAATATGCCTAAATGTGAACACTGATGGAGTTTGGGGAAAATAGGCCTTGACATTTGGGAGTTAGTGTTGCTGGGATTTATAGTTCACCTACAATCAAAGAGCATTCTGAACTCCACCAACATTAGAATTAGCCCAAACTTCCCACACAGAACCCCCATGCCCAACAGAATATACTGTGTTTTCTGATGGTCTTTGGTAATCCCTCTGGCATCCCCTCATGACCCTCCCCAGGGGTCCCGACCCCTAGGTTGAGAAAGGCTGGTATAGGACTTTACAGGCAGTACCTGCACTTTGAATTGGGCTCGGAAACTCGCCGGCAGCCAGTGGAGCTGCTTTAATAGGGGCATAGTATGCTCACTATAACCATCCTCAGTCAGTAATCTGGCTGCCAACCTTTGCACTAACTGCAGCTTCCAAATTGTCTTCAAAGGCAGCCTCGTGTAGTGTACATTGCAGTAGTCCATTCTAGATGTGACTAAGGTGTGGCCCACCATGACCAAGTCAATACATCTCTTACATAATTTATGTATTGTAGCAGAAAAAAATGTTTCATTACATATATAGTCAACATCTGATACCTTTATAGTAGTGTTTTATGGGGAAGTGTCACCATAAGTTATCCATTAACATAATACACAAAGTTTTTTTCACTGATGTATCATCCATGAAGACAAGAATTACAAAACCAAATACACTGGACCTATTTCCTATGATACAATGTTCTCATGTGTCCACTTTAGATGGATTATATAGCAGTCAGTGCTATCAGTTGTGTAATGTGAATGGAACCCTGAACTATAAAACTTCAAATATCTTAGGCCTGGTAACAATTGCTACATTTGGCAATGTTAACCATCATAGTCTTTCCCTTTAAATAATAAAACATTCAAAAGCACCGCATGAAATCTTCCATAGAATCATTCCCAAATAATGTAGATCAGTCTGAACACAATGCAATCCAGACGCATGTCTGCCGCAGTCCCAAACAAAACCTCAAAGGTTAACAACCTATATTTAAATAAGGAAGTTATATTGCAACAATCTATGAGATCTACTTTACATTTATATTGCACCAGCCATTCAAAGAGTTAAAAAAAAAAACACTTGGCTCTCTTTCCCCCACTTTAGAGGTGTCTAGTACATTTGATAAAAACAAGGAGGTCACACTTTCAACCTGACTCATAGAAGCTAATGTCTTCCTCTCAATACATCTTAGAATCATAGAGTTGGAAAAGACCTAGTGGGCCATCCCTCCAACCTCCTACCAAGAAGCAGGAAAATCACATTCAAAGCACCCCTGACAGATGGCCTTCCAGCCTCTGCTTAAAAGTCTTCAAAGAACGGGCCTCTACAATACTCTGGTGCAGAGTAGAGAGTTCCACTGCTTAACAGCTCTCACAGTCAGGAAGTTCTTCCTAATGTTCAGGAGGAATCTCCTTTCTTGTAGTTTGAAGCCATTGTTCCATGTCCTAGTCTCCAGGACAGCAGAAAACAAACTTATTCCCTCCTCCCTATGACTTCCCCTCACATATTTATACATGGCTATCATGTCTCCTCTCAGCCTTCTCTCCTTCAGGCTAAACATGCCCAGCTCTTTAAGCCACTCCTCATAGATGAAATTGAACCAGACTTGGCACCCAAAACTCCCATGACCATCAGAAAATACTGGGTCTGGTGGGCACTGACCTTGAGTTTGGGAGTAGTAGTTCATCTACATCCAGAGACCACTGTGGACTCAAACATTGATGGATCTGGACAGGCCCGTAGCCAGGATTTTGATTCAGGAGGGGCTGAGTTTGATGGGGGGGGGGGTGAATCTGAGTGAAAGAGGGTCTATCCTAGCAAACCTTTTGTATCGTTACCCCAATACCCCCATGCATATGGGATATATTGAGCATGGTGATCAGATCATGATATAAATAAGCATAACAGTTTAAATAATATACCAGTAAGGCCTTCTTGCGGACCAGCATGAGAATTTCAGGGGGGGGGCTGAAGCCCCTCAAGCCCCCGGCTACATGCCTGGATCTGGGCCAAACTCGTCACAAATACTCAATATGCCCAAATGTGAACAATGGTGGAGTTTGGGGAAAATAGACCTTGACATTTGGGAGATGTACAAGCTGGGTTTAGAAAAGGCAGAGGAACAAGAGACCAAATTGCCAATATCCGCTGGATAATGGAGAAAGGCAGGGAGTTTCAGAAAAAAATCTACTTCTGCTTCATTGACTATTCTAAAGCCTTTGACTGTGTGGATCATAATAAATTGTGGCAAGTTCTTAGTGGGATGGGCATCCCAAGCCACCTTGTCTCTCTCCTGAGGAATCTGTACAAGGACCAAGTAGCACCAGTCAGAACTGACCATGGAACAACAGACTGGTTCAAGATTGGGAAAGGCGTACGGCAAGGCTGCATCCTCTCACCCAACCTTTTTAACTTGTATGCAGAACACATCATGCGATGTGCGGGGGCTTGATGAATGCAAAGCTGGGGTGAAAATTGCTGGAAGAAACATTAACAACCTCAGATATGCAGATGACACCACTCTGATGGCCGAAAGCGAGGAGGAGCTGAGGAGCCTTCTAATCAAGGTGAAAGAAGAAAGCGCAAAAGCCGGGTTGCAGCTAAACGTCAAAAAAAACAAGATTATGGCAACAAGAATGATTGACAACTGGAAAATAGAGGGAGAAACCGTGGAGGCCGTGACAGACTTTGTATTTCTAGGTGCAAAGATTACTGCAGATGCAGACTGTGGCCAGGAAATCAGAAGACGCTTACTTCTTGGGAGGAGAGCAATGTCCAGTCTCGATAAAATAGTAAAGAG